TTTGATCGTAATTCGTCGAGAGCACCACGCAGTTTGACGCCGAGCCCAGCATCGACATCCAAACCGGTGCGATGCACCTGCTGGACCAGGCGTTGTGCCGCGTGCGTCATTTGTTTCGTCTCTTCGAAAGCGGGGGCAGCAGCGTCATGTTACCGGCCATTCTGCATCGCCTGGTGGCCCTTTTACAAGGTTAAGACATAATAGACTCGGATTGTCCCAACGTAGTAAAGCAGCTGAAACGATTCGCAACAGGTACCACATAAACGCCGCGAGAATCTTCCTCAAGGACAACGACGATTTAAAGACCGTCGCGTAGTTTTCCAAACACATTTTCGATACAAACAGGCGAGGCGCCATGGCTATGTGTCTCATGGGAATGAACAAGAGCAGCATAAAGGACCTGTACAACGTTTATGTCACACCCGACCTCCGCATCGTTTCGCTGAGGGGCGTCCTACGTTCTCATGCTTGCGATAGCGTATCCCTTACAAAAAATTTATATCTGGCCAGATCTGAAGATTTCAGATATGGCCATATCAAAAATTGGCCACATATAACCTGATATGGTATATCTGCCAGATATAGCCTCATAACACCAGATATAGCCTGATACCCCTTGCCAGATATGGAAATCCCAGATCTGGCTAAGTAAGGAAATTCCAGATCTGGCCAGGCATTTCAGAAGTACAAAAGCCTGAAATCAGCACTTTATATCTTTTTATTGTCTACAATTCTCCCAAGTGCCCCGGCCCGCACTCGAGGAGTTATGGAAACGGTGGTCCTTCAGCTCCTTAGTAATCGCTACTTTTGACCAATTCCATGATTACACAGTTTCGAGTGTAATTCGTAGTCACCGTGAACAAGCCTCCCATAGGGCTCAAGTACCTTTCATATCACTTTTAGGTTTTTCGTCAATGGCAGCGTTCAGGATATTGTGGATTCTGTCCAAACTTCAACCAGGCTGAGCCGCCGAAATCTCTTACCATATTATCATTCTCATGATTGTTGTTTTAGCAGGAATTACTTAAAAGCTGAGAAATCACAACAACCAAAACCGGGATTTAGCTCGGATTCCGCGGAGCTGTTTATGACATTTTTAGCGTTTGTAACTTAATATCAGCGTCTTTGAAGTTGTACGAGAATGATAATAATGTAAGAGATATGTCTGCGGCTCACCCAGGTTGAAGGTTGGACGGAATGCACAGTACTGACACTGGCGGGACATTTTAAAAGTGGTATGGCAGGTATCTAGGTTCTGTACGGCACGTGTTCAGGGTGACTCCGAATTACACTCAAATCTGTGTAACCATAGAATTGCTCAAAATTTTCGATCACTAGGCAGCTGAAGAAACACCGTCCCCATGATTCCTCGAGTACGGGCCGAGGCACTTAGAGGATTTAGCAAATTGTCTATTCGGGCGTAATGTTAACACTTTGAAATAATTAAGCTACATTGAAATCCAAGCGAAAACTAGCACAAATAATCTTAAACTTAAGCTTGTCGAAGCTGAAGTTTGGAATTATTTGTGCTAACATTTAGGTCTCGAACAATAAGTCATTCAGAGTTTTCTAACAAAGAATTTTTTTTACTTGTTTTAGCTTTTTAATATATTGAAAACCGGCCGCCAGATAAGTCTGTATATATGCCAAATAAGTCTGTATATAAGCCATATCAGGCTGTATATATGCCAGATAAGACTGTATATACGCCAGATAAGTCTGTATATACGCCAAATAAGTCTGTATATAAGCCATATCAGGCTGTATATATGCCAGATAAGACTGTATATACGCCAGATAAGTCTGTATATACGCCAAATAAGTCTGTAAATAAGCCATATCAGGCTGTATATATGCCAGATAAGACTGTATATACGCCAGATAAGTCTGTATATACGCCAAATAAGTCTGTATATAAGCCATATCAGGCTGTATATATGCCAGATAAGACTGTATATACGCCAGATAAGTCTGTATATACGCCATATCAGGCTGTATATACGCCGGATATGTCTGTATATACGCCAGATAAGAATGTATATAGGCCGTATATAATCATATAATGTTTGATATGGCCAGATATGGCCCAGATATAAGATTTCCATGCGGGATTTCTCCTAAAGGGGTTATGACACGCCAAAAATGAAATGTGAGAACAGCACTGCTAGTACCCATTGTATGTTCCTATAATCCTGTTAAATTAAATTTGCTTTGAAAAGGCAGGGTAGTTTCGAGGATAAATCGATTTATATGCGGGTCCCTCGGAGGGGCGGATTTGGGCGGAGCGGGAGGCTGCTTACGTAGCCAGCCTCCCGCGCGGCGTCCCCTTGCACGCACTCAGACTTGGCTCTCTTGACGTCTCGAGCTTTACCTTCTTCGTTTACCTTCCGCGTTTCGAGCATACGGTCCGTGACAATTACGTCTACGGCATCGCTCGCCTTGTCAAAGTGTTCGACGTTGATTGCAGCAGCGATTAGAGTGATTTCTAATAAGAGATGTTAGAAGCTGTTCATTTTGACTGCGACCCGCTGGGGACCGGCTCCACCCACGGCGGGTTACGCACGAACTCGCCGTGGTCACCGTCGTCCGGAAGTATCTCGCACGCGCGTGCAGGGTATACAAGGCCAACGGGCCGGGGGCGAGAGTGAGAATGGCGTTCGGGTAACCGAGGTGAGATTTTAGACAAAACCCCGACACTGGGGGAAAAAAAATGTGAAAGCCGTTTACAACTCCCTGTAATGCCGAATTAGAGCGCAGCTCTTGAGGAGGAGGAGGGAAGGGTACTGGGGGGGATCAAGTGACCTTGGGTGGGGGTCACGTGACCTAGGGGGGTCACGTGACGATGACGATGCTGATGACGTCATCAGTAACGATGACGATGCGGATACCGATGACGTCATCAGTGATGATGACGATGCGGATGCCGGTGACGTCATCTGTGATGATGACGATGACGATGCGGATGCAAGTGACGTCATCAGTGACGTCACTGATGACGTCATCAGCGATAATGACGATGCGGATGCCGGTGACGTCATCAGTGACGTCACTGATGACGATGCGGATGCCGGTGACGTCATCAGTCACGTCACTGATGACGTCATCAGTGATGATGACAATGACGATGCGGATGCCGGTGACGTCATCAGTGATGATGACGATGCGGATGCCGGTGACGTCATCACTGACGTCACTGATGACGTCATCATCGATGATGACGATGCGAATGCCGGTGACGTCATCAGTGATGATGACGATGCGGATGCCGGTGACGTCATCAGTGATGATGACGACGACGATGCGGATGCCGGTGACGTTATCAGTGACGTCACTGATGACGTCATCGGGGGTCACGTGACCCCGGGGGTCACGTGACTTGGGAAGCCACGTGACTTTGGGTGTCACGTGACTTGGGGAGCCACGTGACTTTGGGTGTCACGTGACCTTGGGGAAGGGGTCACGTGACCTTGGGGTGACCTTGGGGAGTCACGTGACCCCCGGTGACCCTTGGGGAGGGGTCACGTGACCTTGGGATGACCTTGGGGGCCAAGTGACCTTGGGATGACCTTGGGGTCAAGTGACCTTGGGATGACCTTAGTTACGCCGACGGCGACGGCGACGCCGCTCAAGCCGGGAACGGGCCCCTAAGAGCTGCGCTCTAAAAGGACAACACAACACAAAGTCTCAACCACGCTTGTTTGAGAGTGTGTTGTGCTGTCCTTCCCCCCCCCCCCCCAATCTTGGGGTTTTGTCTAACATGTTAAAGCTTCACCAGCTTGTTTGCGCCCCAACTTTTTGTTCTTAGCGAGTTGCATGAGCGGTTTTGATCGTACCGCGGCGAAAACAGCCTGGGCGATCATGGGGGCGCCTAGAACGAGAGAGCGTTCATGATCACGTGGTTTATGAACACCATGGTGTGACTAACTTGGGCAGTGTTGCCTGGTCGCCAGATGAAAATGATAAAAATTCGTAAATTGATTATTGCAATTACCAGAACTCTAAAAATCGCGTAAATTTGTGTATATGCTAAACAGCCTATGAGCATTTCATTTGAGGAATAATCTATTCGTTTAATGTGCGTGTCATTATCCCTTTCGAGGGATACTACAACGAAATTTCGGCGGTCATTTTTTGGTCTCTATGTGTTCAAAGGAGCAGTATCACATCGAACATACCAATATCTTGTTAAAAAAAGTCTCGAAAAGGAATTTTAGAACGAATTAAGCGATTAGCAAAGAGCACCTGGTGGATGTCGCTAACGCCTCGCTTGTAATGCTCGTCTAGGAACATTGACAGCTAGTGACGGTAAGTGTCTCGCCTCCGGCCTCGACGAGAGAAGATGGGAAAAAGGAACTCCCCTCTTTCCGAGAATCCCTTTTGTGTGTCGCAGAAGTCGCTATTGTCCCCCTACAAGATTATAGAAGATTAACCAGTCTCTCGAAATTCGTACAATAGCAGCCGCTTCGGTGGCTGAAACGACTAGGCCATCCTCTCGACGTCAGCCTCGCCGTAGCTTTGCTCGTCCCGAGACCTACGTCATGATTGCGTTGGATGTCACGTGGTCCCCGCTGGGCCTTCTCCGAGCGCTTGCCAGAGTGGGCCGTTTACAACGAAAAATACAGCCACCAGGCTCAAAATACAAACGTGTGATTGTCATTTACGGATATTGTGGATCATATTCAATCATTTTTGAACACGACGGGAATATTTCAAATTTCGTTGAAGTATCCCTTTAAATCTCTTGAGCCACCTGATCAGGGTGAACGTGTAAATGCACAGCGCTAACGCAAAGAATACCAATCCCCAAATTTTAGTAAAAGGCGCTGGAGTGATTCAGAAGGGTAAATAAATATCCGTCCGAGGCCAGCGACGTAACGGAATACATGCGCGTGAAAGAGGATATTGGCATTGCGAGAGGCCCAGATGTATGTAGAAGTTAAATTTACGGCTTACCTGAAATTTGGCAGAATATTGGACCTCGAAGAAATGAACGAGACGGCGTGGTTTTTTGCATTCGTTTTTCCAAACCATGCATATTTTATTCAAAAAGCTCCTGTCCTGAGCCGCGAAGAAGGTCAGCGTGCATAACGTCTGCTGATCTTGTTCCTACATGCTTTAAGGACGTTAAAATACGACGACGGCGTGGACGAAAAGATTAGTTACACCGACCTCCTGGATTTATACGACGACGTGGGACTTCCTACAGTCTCCGTACAGCAGCATCAATATTTATATAGGCATGAAATCCGACGCCTACGGGATCACTTTCGAGACGTGCTGTCGTTTGTACAAGACATACACGCACGCACAAGGTGTGATATCAACGGGTCCGTCAATGCGATCTAGGGGAATGACGAAGAAGAAGAGGGAGGACCCCTAGACACAGACACCATATTGACGAGGGTTGCCGAAGCGTACAAAAACAAACGAATTGAGGTGGGCGACGAGCTTCACCCTCCGATTGAGGAAGTGGTTGAAGACCTTCCCACCTTCCCACCTCAGTGGAGACGACGAGAAGGAAGGAGTAGAAGAAGAGGTGGAATACTAACAAGGAATGCGTAGAATGTTGGCGATCCTCGTCATCAAGTGCCTGTTTCTACGGCGCTCTTTGACGGAATTGCCGGCGTCGGTTCCATGTTTAAAATCCGAGCGAACGATCGGAGGTTTCAAATACTTGTCGCGGATGGTCTTGACTTCGTCGTTGGTCGGTCCGTAAAACATATTGTCAGGCTTGTATTTTTTCAGATCGTCGCGCATGACAAGCGCCTCGATGGGCGACACGTCGAGATTTTTACGGTTCAATAAAAATTCTTCCATACTCTGAAAATCGTTCAAGTGCATCCCGTCTTCCATGCTAGACAGGTTGAAATGACAGTCCTTCAAAGTGCGACAAAACGCGGCTTCCGTCTTACACGCGCCCTCGACGCACTTGAACGCCTCGGAGCCCGCGTCCTCGTCCCGTCCGAACAGAATCGGCTTCAGTGTGCGTTTCGCTTCGGTCAGTTCTTCGGCGACCATCGGCATCAATTTGTCAATCTTGATGGAAAACCCCCTTCTGTTTACGATCAGGCGCTTAAGAATAACGTACAGGACGTCTTTATAACTGCTGAAGGTGTTTGCGTTTTCGGACACGTAGCTTTGCAGCTTTCCCACTGTGCGATCCACGTTTTCGAGACCGCCCATCGATGGCACGATGTGGTCGAGTAGAATGCGGCAGAGAGCGGCGCCAAGTTTCTCCTGGGCCTCGTCGAACATCAGGTTGGGATTGCCCAACAGCCAACGTTGCGTGGGTATGCTACGCGGAGCGGAACAGAGCTCGGTGGCGAACGAATCTTCGAGTATGTTGAGATAGTGCTCGCGAAAGAGCATGTTTCGGGCTCCCAAAATAGGCCCCGACTGCGTAAATATTGTGTTGGCCTGCTTGTTGGTCTCCTTAATGTAGTCACGCTCCGAGTCCGGGTACGGCGTGGAGAAGAGACGCCTACAGTAACGGTCCGCGGACAGGTGTTTCAACAGTTGTTTTCTCAGACAGGACTTGTCTGCGAGAAAGGTCGAAAGGGTCGGCACGATCATGAAGCGCTTCTGCTCGGCCTCCATGGAGGGCGACAAGTACGGGATGTCGTTCGACGACATGAGAAACTTTGCCGAGAGCATGAAATCGTTATGGTACCGATCGTACTGTTGTGGAATGGACACCCTGTCCCCGCCCGTAATCTGCTTCAACAGCCGACGGCCACTTTCGTCCATGTCGAGAATCGGGATTTTCCTCTGGATGACAAAGCGAATTTCCTCTGAATTGTTTCTCAACGGGGCGGCCATTCGCTCTTCCGAATTGTACGTGAAAAAGTTGGAATGCAGGGTCCGCACCAACTTGCTGTCCTTTCCGAACAGGTGACGCAAAATCCCGAGAAACAACGACTTTCCGTTCGCGGCCTCGCCGTGCATGAACATGAGCTGCTGGCCGCTGTAATCGGTGGAGAGACCCAGGGCTAAAAACTCTAGAACCATGCGCGCCTGTTCGGATGATCCAAACAATTCAATGAGCATCGTCCACATAAGCTCATCCCACGTCAGTTGGGAACACACGAACGAAATCGGACCCCCATCGTCGTCGTGGGCGCTCGGCTTCAGGGCAGTGTCCATCACGGCGTTGTGTAAACCCGGGTGCCTCTTCAAAAGAAAGCGGAGGGACACGATGTAAATGACGACGCAGCAATACAGACTGCTCTTCGAGGACGTGCCATGTTTCGAAATGCATTCGAGCTTGCTCTCCGCGTTGCGCATTATCTCGTTCATGTCCCCTTGCGTGGGCACGTCGTCCGGACTTATCTGGGTGTCATCGTACTTGGGCTTCACGTCGAAGTATTCCTGGAACTTCTTTGGTGGCGATTCTCTACACATTTCTTTCAAGAAGTTATCCATAAACTCTTCTGGATCGGAAAACTTGCTCATCTTTTTGAACACCCGGTCGCTCATCGCCTTTATCACCGCAAACACTTCGTGACCCAGTTTGTTGTTTTTGAACACCGACCAAGCATTCTCGATCGTTTTGCACAAGAGCTGGCACCGGTAGCGAAACCCGCCTCGAGTCGGAATCACTTCCACGTAGTAGTGGTCGACCTTTTCGCCGACGCCCAGAGTCAAATCGCATTCGCTGCGCACGGTACACACTTGGTCCGGGCTCCAGGCCACGTAACGCTTGTCGTACAAGTCGTACGTGTCCCCGTTCGGCAACACCAAGTGTCTGTTGCTGGTGAGCTTTATCGAATGCGTATTGGCTGCTCCTGGCTGTAGGTACCTGTGTAGATTAGAGAAATCCAACTTGCGCTCTCTTTGATTCGTCAACTCTAGTAAAACTTCGTAACACAAATTGAACGGACTTACGTCCTCTCTCCACGACTCAAACTTGAAGCACGTCTTTATGGCCACAGTTTCCAAGTCCGACAACAGCGTGCTGGGCTCATTGGGCATCATTGTGCCCGTAGTTTCGTTGTATTTAAACAGATCGTACCTACCCGACCCCTTGTTGAGCATCAAAGTGCAGATCTTGTTGGTTTCGAGCAATCGCTTTATGTATTCGCTGTAAACAAACCGTTTAAGGCCGAATCCTTTCGCCAGCTCCTTCAAGAGCCACCTGGACGTCTCCTCGTCCTCTTTAGTCATCGTGAAAAGCGGTTCGGATTGAATGCGGAACACTTTTCTCGGCAAATTCAACGGCTTATGTTCGACGTTACTCGCAGAAGAACTGCGACCGTCAGAGCGTTTCCTCTTTTGTGCGACGTATTGCGTTTTGGGGGGAACGGGTATCAAGCGATTGGTTCTGTCCCGGAGAAAATCCTTGTCCTCGCTGTCGTCTTCTGAGCTCTCGCCGTCGTCGTCTCGCAAACCATCCGCGGATGTGTATTTCCAGAGCCAGGCCACCGCGCGATCGTAATGGTATTTCGGGTTCTCTTTCATTCTGGGCTGGAACTCCCGAGACAAAACGCGAAAGATTCGCAGCCCCGTGGTGTAATTCATGGTGCTGGCTATTATCAACAATAACTTGTTCCAATGGTCACGCTTTTTCGCGTAATCCGCCAAAAACATCAGCTTTAGCAACGCCCACTTGAAAATGAATTCCAGAATAGCCACCGTGGATTTGGACTCACCCTCGTTCACGTAAATGCCGTCGTACGCTTTTGCCAATTTGATGCATGTCGTAAGAGAATTCTCGACGACGTTTTCGCCCGGAGAGGACGGTGTGCCCGTGGGATAAATTATCTCAAGGCCGCCGCTTTCGTCGACCTCGACTTTACCAAACCCCTCGTCGTGGGGGTGCAATACGCTGTCCTCGTCCATCTCCTCGTCCGAGCCCCGTTCGGAAACCACGCCCACGCCCTGATTGTACTCTACAGCCCCTCTGTCCTCTACGGTCACGTCGTCCGATTCGACGTCGACGTTGTACGTCACACTATTTACAATTATAATGCAATTAAATTCAACACTATTTACGTACTCGTAAGCGCTCGCGGCGTCAAACCTTTTGCTTCCGTACACAAATCATGAATTGGTTTGCTCCGGTAGAAATGTCAAAGTCCGGCCAATCCTCGGGAACAGCCTCGGCGAGTAGCTCGCGCACCGGCGTCAAGAGTCGGTTTCCGTTGCGCGGCGGGTCGTCCACGAACGCAAAGTTTGTGTAGTGTACGTGCCAACGTACCACGTCCGCGTCGCCTGTGGTTTTCGTCCGCTTCGTCAATACGACTTCCACTGAAAACGTAGTCTGGTCGTCACGGTGCACTCGCGGCACCGATTCACACGGTGCTGGGCGCCTTTGCCGGCGCGCGACACGACTTCATCCACGGTCAACACGGGGTGGTCCGGCTGGCAGTCGAAGTCCAGGACGAGTCTGTAGATGTATTTACCGCAACCGGGGTCTTTTCGCTCACCGATGTATCACAGAACGTTCGCTTGGGGACGGGTCTCCATCGACTCCAACAGCTCCGCCGCTTGTTGCTCGTCGTAAACGATGGTCTTCTTGCCGAGAAGATGAGTTTCCATCTGCAAAAAGAAAAAAAAAGAGAAAATAAAACTTGTTAAAAAAACGCCTTGTTGATCAGAGCCGTCGAATTTAATTAAAACCACGAGTCAATTTCTGTGTGCGGACGAAATGAGTCGTGTGATCATCTTGTGCGGCAACTTTTTCAGGACCTCTCCGTACACAAGAAAGGGGTCCCTATCATTTCGTCGAAACTCGTTTCGTGGAATTACGTTTCGTGAGCAACTTTTCGTCGACACTGTGACGTTTCGTCGAAAATCGTTTCGTGGAGAGCACCACCTTGAAACGTTTCGTCGACAAACTTTTTTTCTTTTTTTTTTCTTTGCGGCTTTGAAAGGAATGCCGGAAACTCGAGGTACAAGCGGTTGTAAAAGAGGACAAAGACAATGCCTAGCGCAGTTTCTCTCCAAGGAGAGCAACTGCGCTACCCTCTCGCTCTCATCTGTGTCACATGGAATAAGCAAGAGCGCACAGGACTTCGCTCGTGGCCTATTGGGATATTTGCAAGTTGCGAAGCCCGTTTATGGAACTGAACGTTCCTGGAGGAAGTAAAGTGATGGAAAAAAATATGCGTAGGCGCAAAACAAAACTTCGATCCAATGGTGGGTTGCGGAAAAGGGCGTGGACACTGATTTTTGTTTTCATATTGGTTACTTTTAACAAAAACACAGCTTGCAGCCTTTTATTGCTACATTACGATCCTAATATTTCAATTTAAATTAAACATGTACATTACCCTCAATTATGCAGAAGAAAAAGTGATGCACTGTTTTACTGGCTACTGCGACTTATACCCGAAAAAAAAACTGTTCAGTCGCACTCGTTTCATCGTTATTTATTTATTTCAATACCTTCAATGCCACACGGCGTTACAGAAGGGAACGGGGGAAAAACAAAAGTACGAAAAATAGAATTCAACTCATGATAGGTAACATAATAGTTTTCAATGGCAGACTTGAATGCAGGGGTGTCTGTGACTGTGGCGATAGAGGTGGGCAGGTGGTTCCTGTTATTAGTAGTCCTTGGGATAAAAGTATAAAAAAAGAGCTTCGTGCGACTTAAAGGAACGTTGACTTTATGGCGATGATCATTTCGATGAGATAAATACGATGGTTCAGAAAAAGCTCTTCACTTAGATGCTGGTTCCGGTGATACATTTTGTGAAATAAGGACAAACGAGATAATTCTCTACGCATTGAAAGATTCTGAACATGTAAGGTTAGTTTCATGAATGATACACTGGGAAAACGTGAGAAATTAGACAAAATAAAACGTGCGCCGCGATTCTTTACGGATTCAATTTGATTATTAAGAAATTCATGGCCTGGGTCCCACACCGAACTCGCACACTCAAGCTTGGATCTAACTAGGGTATTGTACAGCAGTAGTTTTAATGATGAAGGAGCCCTTGAGAAGTTGCGACGTAAGTAACCTAAGATGCGATTAGCGTTGTTAGAAATAAAGTTGATGTGAGTTTGCCAGGAGAGGTCAGATGTTATATGGACACTTAGGTGCTTGTACGATGTCACCTGTTCAAGAACAGAACCAATGTTATATTGAGGAGGGTTAGTACAGGCAGCTTTCCGTGAAATTCTCATTATTTTACATCTATTGGCATTAAGGCGCATTTTCCAGAGCAGTCAGTAATTGAATTAAAGACAATCTGAAGAAAAGACGTGTCAGTGTCAAAATGGAGTACACGATAAATGACACAATCATCTGCAAATAACTTTATGGATTGGTTGTTTAAACGGCCCCTTACTCTAAAAGCATAAAAAAACAATGACACTCGCACTCCCGCGAGCACGGATCCTGCGAGTAAACTAAAAACGCTACATTGCAGTGAAAAAAAAAAAAAAAAGACACGAGAATTGGTAACAAATAAATAAAACATTACCCCAAGTTTAGTCGTATTACACAAAGGGAACCATAGTTGATATTGCCGCGCGCAAGGCTGAGAAAGCAACGCTCGGTCACGGTCCTCCAGAAAGTTCCCGTTTATTCATGTACCGCACGTAACTTCTATCATTTGTCCCTGCTTTTGTTTTCTAGAAAGTGCGTGTTCATTCTCGCCCCGATCACGCGACGCTCGAATCGCTTTCGCCGAATCTTCGAGATAGCGGCGCACCCTAGATAAGAGGCCGCCCGCGACCTTGTCGAGTCAGTCTCGCCCTAGCGCTCGATTCTGCTGACACGCCGACTTCGACGCCCGCGACGCTCTGCTTTCTTCTGTTTACTTCTTTATTTTCGGCACAAGTTCGCCACATTAAACGTTTATTTCTCCCTGTTTATTTCCTGTTTTCTTTTGGTCACCAACCGTGACAATATCAAATGTGCAACTTAATGCATTATATAGTTTCTCTCGAGCAGCCGCCACATGCAAGGCCTTGGAGGCGGTAGTACCACTAGACGAGATCTGTCGGCAGCAGCCGACTGGTCCTCACACGCGACATTTAATTGTTTTTTTTTATTGATGCCAGCAGACAGATACCAGGGGCAATCAATTCGTGACCCAGCTCTTTGCATAAAATAGCGGCTTCCTTGTCTAATGTTTCTCGGTCACATATTGGTCTTATGTGCATGCACTATTTCAGTACAGAAATAATATGAGCAGAACTTTTGTGTTATTTAATATCCAGAAGATAAATATGCTAAACTCTAAGAATGGTATGCGGTCTGGTAAGTACAGTACGTTGAATACCCGGTGCTCGGAGGAAAACGAACAGTGTTTTATCACCGTAAAAGTAAACTACGCGTAACCGAATGTTCAGTCTCCTCCAAAGTTTAGTGCTAGCGGCTAAGACCAGATGCCAATTAGCTTAAAAAACGATTTTATGCCATTTTCAACGATAGAATGGCTGTGTGTACCGCAAACATTCCTCCTTTTTAAATTTTTTTAAGAGTTTTAGTGTTTTGACGTGTAGACTATCTATGCTATGTTTAGGTGGCTCTTGAGGATTCTACCAATAGATGCGACGCGCGGAAAGATACACGTGCTCTGGAAATGACTCTGCCACTTCGTCAGAACAGTCGGAGTGCCGGCGGCCAGCCCGCGAAGGGTGGCATTCGATGACGTCCAGACACCTCGCGCACGTATGCTGCCGAAAGCGTAGCCCTCAAGAGTAGCGCATATTGTTGAATGTTTTAAAAATCTAATTTGAGAAAGGACACTGGGGTGGGGGTCGATAACAAAACTTGCCGGCTTTGACAACGCTTCCCCAAAGGTTCGGGCAAAGACACCAGCGAAACCATACAAATCGTAAATTCCAATATCGGCGCGATCAATGCCCCCCCCCCCCCTAAAAAATAAATAAAATAAATAAGCAGGAAAAGAAAGTCGGTGAGGCTGCGCACTGGTTTCGCCCTACTTGGCCCAGTCGGCCGTCATTCATTCTTTCATCTACCCATCCAGCACAAGACCGCGCGCCGCGCAGGCGCCACGAGGAGGTGCAGCTGGCGGAGCTGGCAGACCGAGCTGTCGACGAAACGTCGCTACGTCTGTCGATGAAATGAGCGGGTGCTCGTTTCAAGGAAACGATCTGTCGATGAAACATCGCAGTGTCGACAAAACGATTTGCCCATGAAACGTCGTTCGACGAACTGATTGACACCGCGAGAAAGGACACACATTCGGTCGGAAAACATAACGCGTCGTTGGTGTACACATGTCGCAAGTTTCGGTTGCCGAAGATGTAGCAGACCTAAAAGATGTATACAATTCCTGTACGCCATTTACGCCGCTGGTAGAGGAATGAGCAGTCTCAACGCCTTTAAAAATATTTCAAACGCTCCGGGGTACCAGTCACTCGAAACGGATTTCATGACCCTATAGCACTCGAACAACGTTTTTCGGCAAAATCATTTTTCATTCGTTTTCAACGCTGCCGTGAAAGCTATGGAGGAAAGGATCAGCCAAGTGGAAGCTTCCGAGATCCTCCTGTGCCTTCTCGAGAGAGAAAGCCTGAGTAGAGGAAGAAATACGGCGATGACTGGAGATAGACTTATCATGACTAATAATATTTTAGGAAGTGCCGTGCACGAAATGGTAGTTACTGTGTGTCGTCTTCGAGTTCGACAACTGTCGCTTGTTTTTCACGTTTTGTTTAGGACTGACTATTAAAAATCGCCATTGGAGTTATTAAGCGCTACCATGTTCTGATGGCATACGTTACATTTAAAGTAAAGATAGGGTTTCATACGTCAGTTTGGATCTCTCCCGGTAACACTTCCGCTCGCCGGATTTGCTTTGGCCACGGTTTTGGCCCGATGAACTCATATTTGCGAAACGCAGGCCTACATAGTATGTCCCTCACTTTAAGAATGAAAGTAATGTAAAAAATACGAATATTTAGGACTATGTAATTATTTGGGGAAGCGAGGAAACTTTAGGCAGAAACACGAAAAACAGGTAGCTCGAAACGCTGGGCCTTCTTGCCGCGCGCAATTCTGGCACATACAAAAAAAAGAAGAAAAAAAAGAAAAAGATTTTGCGCGACATGCGCGCTCTCTTCACGAAAAGAGTCAAGCGCGAGACACATGCGCGTCCAAACTGTCCGATCCGACGTGCGAACTGCCGGAACGACGTTCGGAGGCGGGTTTTCGTCGCACCGGAGCGTCGGACGGGGGCTCTCGCACCGTTGTCCGATTTTCGGAGGGCCGCAGCCAATGGCAGCACAGATGGGGCGAAGGTCAAGTTGTCACGTGACATTCAGACCGATCGGGTGAGGAGGCGCTACGTGGCTCGGGGAAGCGGATGTGGTGGTGCGTCACGCGACGTGGTTGTGAAGGAAACAAACGCCATCGAGTTTTCCCGCGCGCACAAAACGAGCTGCTGATTTCGCGCGCCAAAGCAAGCCGGCCTTCTGGGACCGATCGAGACCGTCGAAACCCGAATACACTCCGTTTCACCTTAGGATGGACAGCAGCGGACGCTAAGAGCCACTCCAATGTCATGTGAGTGTCACGTGAACTTCGGGAGAGACGCAGTAATGCGCGCGGTACG